GCCATCTCCTGCAGTGACAAGATCACTTTGAATACAATCTTTGGACATTATTTGAAGATCTATGGTGTGCTGGCACATATGTCGGCGAGGGAGCTTGTGGATGTCGCATTGCTGAAGGGGAGGTGTGTATTGTTCCGCTTTGAATTACATAATGTAGCGTAACGAGTAGTGTCATCGGAAGAAACAATTGCTGTGTCTGGAAATGACACAATCTGTTTAAAATGATCTGGTATTCATCCGTAGCACAGCAATAGTGATGCACATTCGGTAAACTGCCGCTTAGCTGCTATATAGAGAATGCACAGGGCTGCGATCATGCAGCAGACCAGCCCAGTAGGCCTGACCTGTCAAGGTGCTGGAGACGAGTGTGCAGTGTGCCGTTTGTTGGTCTCCATAGTTACAGCTGTGTTCAAACACTGTTCCCAGCTACAGACAGAGGCACATGACAAGTGGACGTCTCTGACAGCCTGCGATCTGGAAAGTCTGGTAGGTTTCCACTACATAGATTTCACTGCAGACACGCTGCAGCCTTTGGGCATATTATGATCAGAAAATATCAAAAGATTTTTACTGCAAAATCCCATACATTTCATTTTGTATTCAGTCTAATGTGATTGTTGACAGCATAGGTTTATATCGGTATGTCAGTGTAACATCCCTCACGGAAGAGAAATATATTTCCAATATATTTAGAAAAAAAATGATCTATGTAACATATATTTACAATATATTGGCCTACGCTAATATATTTTAACATGTATTCTAAAAAATTTAAATATAAATATATTTTCTAAAGGCATATATTTAAAAATACATATTTTTAAATATATCCTTCAGATTTTTTTTTAACATATGAAAAAAGTCATTTTAACATATATTTTTACATATATTTGTAAATGCATTCCAAAAATGTTGATTAAATGCATTTTCAAAGATATTTGAAAATGTATTTTTAAAAATATTTTTCAGATATTTTTTAATATATAAAAAACGCATTTCAACATACAGTATATATATATATATATATATATATATATATATATATATATATATGTGAATATGGCCAACATTGTAGTATTTCAAATATATGTCAATATATTTGGGAAGAATATTTTTAAAATAATTTGTACTTCCACGTGGGATGTATTATTCATGAATTAGTCCTTGCTGTATATTGGTTTTAATCAAACAAGCAAGATTAATCAGATCTATCCATAGTAACCTAATGCCTATTAAAGCAGTGGTAAATTCTGTATTTGAAAGTTGTACCTGCAGGTAAGCCTGTAGTAAGCCTTACCTGTAGATACAGTGGATATCTCCCAAACTTGAGGTGTTTAGGTGATATTTACACGAGATGCAGCCAGCGATATCAGTGGCGCATGCACTCTGAAGGGACGGAATGCCCCTTCAGAGCTCTGTACCGTGGCCATGACTCCTGTGTGCATATGTGGGAGTGACATCATTGCGGCTCAGTCATTCAAACAACCGGAGCCCACACACCCAGAAGGAAGATCGGGTGAAGATGGAGGTCCTGTCACCTGTGACAGCATGCCGCTGGAGGGCTTCATTTTAAGGTAAGTATGCCATAATGTGCTAGTATTTTGATTGGTCAGCATCCTCACATGGATGCCGTGTAGCCTGTACTGTCATTGCTGCAATGAGAGGAGAGAAATCTGCAGGGATTTCAAATCCCCAGAACTGTGAAGAAACTTTCTCTCCTCTCCTTGCAGGGACGACAGTACTGGCTAGACAGCATCTGATTGGTCAGCACCATTCATGTTACAGTGCTGACAAATCAAAAGCCCTCTAGCCCGAACGGTTATCCCTGCAAGGAGAGGAGAGAAAGCGATGGGGATTTCTCCTCTCCTACCACTGAGAATATGGAGCATCTGCCACCATAGCAGGGGCGGAATGACCATTTGGAAACTCGGGCACTGCCCGAGGGCCCGGGGTCAGTAGGGGGCCCCATGAGATGCCCCTGGTACCTTTTTCATAGGCTTTTTTGAGTTTGCGCAAGGACACAGGGGCCCCATGATCCCCTATTACCCGGAGGCCCATGAGTTGTCAGTCCGCCCCTGCACCATAGTATACATCCCCATACACTATTTCATCCACTTTCCCACTCTCCACTGCAAGAAACCTCCCTGCACTGCTCCTGTGTGAACTATGACAAGCCTGGGTTTACACAGGAGCTGTATGGAAACCACATGCCATTTGGACAGGAAACACATTCCTGTTCAAATCGCATGCTATTTTTTGCGGTACAATTTCTAGCCATACATTTTGCATTGACGTAAATCACATTGCAAAGCATCGATAATCAGTATCACTGAATACTTGAGTATCGGTACTCATCGATAAAAGAAGGGTATCGGTACATCCCTAGTTGCAATGCATCACTCTGTTTGCTGTCCATTTAAATATGCCCCTTGTGTACAAGGCCTGAAGGTTACACCCCTGTGCAGACATTAACTGAAACAATGGCGCAAACTGCCCCTCAACCCCCTGAAAGTTTACTCAGGCTTTCAGTCCTGGCACAGTTCGATATGAACTTTTCATGTAGAACTAAATACTGCAGGTCAGAGTTCCAGGACTAGAGGCCCTCAATGAGATAAAAGATATTGCCAAGGGACAGGTTACTGCACATTCTGCATTAGTTACATAATTAATCAGCTTGAAAAAAAGATATAAGTCCATTAAGGTCAACCAATGAAAAAAAGAATTAATAAATGGAAAGCCTGCATATACAGGATCCTAAACTCACAGCCGATCCAGTGGAAGGCAAAAGAAACCTCATAAAGCATGGTCCAATTTACTACAACATGGAAAAAAATCCTTCCTGATCTAAAATATTCTGCGGATCAACAATCTGTGGTGTTATTACTTCTAAACATTGATGACTAAAGTTGGTATCAGATGGATTTAAATTCAAACAGTTCAGGAGGGACAAGCTGAATTTTGATCCATGTGTGGCTGTGTCTATTTGAAGAAGTTGATCATTAGATCGACTTTTGTCGAATGGGCTTGTTAGAAAATGTTTTTCATCAGCCACTATTCTGACAGCAGTGTTCTTCAGAGTCAGAATACAATGTCCCAGTGGGGGGAATCGTTCTGACCATTTCCCTTGTGTGGATGGAGTATTGCATTTGTATTTTTTCGTTTAGCCCATTGGCTGAATAAAGAAAAAAAAGAATCATCTATGGCCAGCGTTAGAATATCAGTGCATTTAGAAACACATCCACAACAAAGCTGGCTAGAACTATCTCCTGGGGAAGTATAGTCTACATTTTCACAGCTCTTACTGTGAAGAAGCCTTTCTGTATTGCTCACCTGAAGGAAGTGATACTTTATATTCAGTATGATGAAATGTTTCCTGAGCTGTGGGTATGTTTCAGTCAAGAAATGTCTGATTTTATAAAGAACATATTTATGCTTGATGCTCTTGACCTACTGAACCATCAGTCAACCTTTATGCCTTTGTAGAGGATATGCTACCGAGACCAAAATGCACATTTTGACAACTGATTGAACATCATATCATAAGCCTGGAAAAAGTGACAGTAAGTAATTTTGTCAATTTTAAACACAGCAAATACTTCCCCTTCCCTAAAGAAAACCTGAGACATGCAGTGATTATTTATCTGTTTCTGTATTTTTACTGACTCGATCAGTGTCCATATTCATTTTAGGGCCCTTTCACACAGGTGGACTGATCTTTTCTGCCTGTCCGTTTTTCAGATGGACCCAATTGGACCACCCATTTTTCTCTATGGGAAGGTGGATGCAAATGGACATGTGTATTTTCACACCTACCTGCATTTGATCCGCAAAAACAGATGAATGGAGATCCATTCCTCAATCCGTCTAGCGGATCAGATGACAGTTGGATGCAAACGGACAGGTGGTCCGTTTACATCCCACTGCTCCATAGAGAACAGCAGGCTGTGTTCGCTCTGTACAAGCGGAGTGGACATGGACCTGTCATCTGACTGCTCAGCGGGGATCAGTGGACAGATCCCCCGCTGAACAGGCCGATCCGATAAGTGGAGGCCACCTGCGTGTAAGGTCCCTAAGTGATAGTTTAATGCAAAATTCACTCTGGGCTCTGCTAGTGAGAAATGGGAAGCAAAAATGTCAAATGTTGATACAAACAGCAATAAAGAAACTTTTTTAAATTGAGTGGCAAAGTGCTAAATCCAGCAAAATGCTTTCATTGCCATCCGTGTCTTAGTTGTGGGAATTTGTACTGTTTGATTCTACTAGAGCTCAAAAGCAGCAGAATCCATGCAGGTCATGTAATGTAAGCTAATATGCTATTTCTGCTGTCAAAAGCCAATTTTAATTATTTGAATGATTTATCATTATAAGAAAATGTAATATACTGTATATCAAAAGCTTAAAGTTTTTTTTTTGGGTAGCAGAAAGAAGGGTCAAAGCCTCAGGTTTTCTTGTCAATGTCTCCAGTGGAGAGATTACTATCTCTATTTGTCCTGGCGACCACTGTCACTGAGACACAAAATGAAAAAAAAAAACAAAAAGCCTCATAAGTTTGACTAGAGATAGCTTTCAGTACAAAATGTCTTTAAAATATATATACGAGGATCCTTGTAACCAGTGTTGAAAAAAAATATTGATCTATTAGTGATGCCCAGTATACAATATGGAGTTTAGGGCTTTATTCCTGTTGAAAAGCCTATTGCCATCCCTGGGTGCCAAGTAAGACAAACATTATCCAGACTCTGCTAGCCAAGGGGAAACAGTATTGGTCTCTTTCTGGTAGTCCTTTAGAGACTACAGTACAATTCCCAATGATTGGTAAGTCGGTGATGGGAAAGGAAGAAGGTGAGTACAAAGAGAGATCTACTGTTAGCATATACATAGCCAGCTGCACTATTATAGATTAGTGCGCTACCCCATCCTTTTAAAGTGCAAGGTAGGATTCCATCAAATAATTTCACTTCTACTATGTTTTGATAAAACCTTTTGTTGACTAGATAAAAATGGATTCTGAAGAACGTTACATTGCAGCGCTAAAAGAAAAAGCCTGTGAATTGGTAGAAACCGCCATGAAAAATGCCCAGGATTGCCTCAGAACCCTACAAATATCACCAATGGAGGACACAGATAAAGGTAAGAGGACTCTTGTCTCAAGGCAATAAGAACATTGAGCCAAAAGTTCACACCAATGTGATTTGTCATGCGACTTGCGAGTCCAAAGTTGTATGACAAGTCATATCCCATATCTTTTAATGACCCCATTCTAAAAAGGTTTCTGCACTATTTTTGTGCAATTTCATTGCGACTTGCATTGACATCTATTATTGAAGTAGCAGAGTAGCAGCAAGTCACAATGAAGTCGCACGGCACAGTCAGACCTCAAAGTTGCACGATGCATTGATGTGAGCCAGGGCTGAGGCAGATTTACTATAAAATTGCAGCTCAATTATTCCCTTCTCTCTGCTGTTCAAAAATAGCAATTGTACTAATCCAAACAATGTGCTGCCCACATCTGAAAGAGATTCTGCCAAAAAACAAAACCTTCTGCTGGTATTAAGTATAGACAAATCTAATACCCTGCCATTACAGTCATGTTTGCTCATTCTGACAATGTTTCGGCTCATTCAGCCCCTTTTGTACCTCCTGTTCTTCTTATTCTATAGGCCATTAGAAATGCTCCCAGTTCTGTAGATAACGGGCTAGATATATTAAACCCTTTTTGATGTTCATGTCTCTTAGTGTTGGCTAAACCAGGGGTCTCCAAACTTTCGAAACATAGGGCCAGTTTTCTGTCCTTCAAACTTTAGGGGGCTAGACTGTGGTCAATAGGAGTAGAAATGCCTTGGCATCAGTGGGAGTAAACAGTGCCATAGGCCTGGTGGTGAGTGAGAGTAAAAAAATTGCATAATTGGTGTTAGTGGGAGTAATGGTGCCCCATCATTGGTGTCAGTGGGAGAATAAGTTCCCTATTTCTGGTGTCAGTGGGAGGAATAGTAGCCCATTGTTGGTGTCAGTGGGAAGAATAGTGTTCCATCTTTTGTGTCAGTTGAAACAATATTGCCTCACATCAGTGGAAGGAATAGAGCCCCAAGGCCCGGATAAAGGCAAGCAAAGGACTGCATCCAGCCCGTGGGCCACAGTTTGGAGACCCCTGGGCTAAATTAAACAGTATTTGCAACTCTTTGTTTCAGAGCAGAAATACACAACGAAGAACATTCCATGGGTGCAGTGTAAGGATTTCACTGTGGATCTGGGGAAGAAACAAATTGAAGAATATGTTGCTGTAAGTTAATGGCATGGTGCACAGTAGGATGACCACACATAGAATTATTCGAACTAGATTAGATCTTTTGATATACTAGACATTTACAAAATTCCTCAGCTAGATACAACCCAACAAAAATACAATAAATGGAAAGCTAGAAATGTCTTTGTGTATCAATTTGCACTTTATAAGAACTGGAGCTACTTCTAAAAAATCCATTTAGCATCAGACCAGCTTTTAAAGTTTGAATCCGGTTGTTGCCTATGGGAAATAAATCCAGGTCCTAGTAAGAAAGACTCATATGCCTTACAACATGATTTAAATGCTGAAGGATCTTTTTTTCCCAACTGCCAGCAATATACATGAAACCCCAAAGCATGCAAGTGAAAGTTACAGTAAATAGTGCTAACATTATGCTGTTACATAGTTAGACATACACTCACCGGACACTTTATTAGGTATACCTTGCTAGTACCAGGTTGGACCCCCTTGTGCCTTCAGAACTGCCTGAATTCTTCATGGCATAGATAAAACAAGGTGTTGGGACATTCCTCAGAGATTTTAGTCAAACTGACATGAGTTACTGTGGCCTTTTTATAATTTCAAACCAGTCTGCCCATTCTCCTCTGACCTCTGACATAAACAAGGCATTGTCATCTACACAACTGCCGCTCACTGGATAGTTTCTCTTTTTCAGACCATTCTCTGTAAACACTAGAGATGGTTGTGCATGAAAATTCCAGTAGGTCAGCAGTTTTTTAAATACTCAGACCAACCCATCTGGCACCACCAACCATGCCATGTTCAAAGTCACTTAAATCCCCTTTCTTCCCCATTCTGATTCTCGGTTTGAACTTCAGCAATTCGTCTTCATCATGTCTAGATGCTAAATGCATTGAGTTGCTGTCATGTGATTGGCTGGTTAGCTGTTTTTGTTACCAAGCAATTGAACAGGTGTACCGAATAAAGTGGCCAGTGAGTATTGTTGGGTTGCAAAAAGGACACAAGTTCATAGTTCATGTGTTGTGAACCTTGACTACACTCTTGTCTAACACACAGACTTTTTTCATGTCCTATATAAGCTAAGGCTGCAAATCACCCCCTTACCTAACAGAAGCTCTAGGCTCCTGGGCCTTGGTGTTATTTTTACTACTTGGCCATAACTCAGAATGGGACCAATATGCAAGCAGTGCCTCAGCAGCCAATCAATAGTACTTCTAATAGTCATATGCTTCCAATTCCATGGTTGGAGTCGTAGATGGTTTACAAGCTTCACCAGATAGGTATTAAAAAGGGGGACCTTGGGATACACAAAAGGGTGAGATATAAGAAAGTGTCAGCAATAAGTTTAGGTCTGCTTTAAGTGACATCACAGGAGAGTGATCATGTTGCAGAGATATGTAGCATTATGGTTAGCTACAATAAATGTCTAAACATACAGGAATTGCTGGTAGGACATTAGGCATTAGTAGGACATTGGTTTGACACTGGTAGGCATTGATTAATATGAGAAGAAAGAAAATGGTGAAAGAGCTCTAAGACCTCGTGCAGATTGTAAGCTTAAAAAAGTTTTTCTCCTACAAGTTTACTGCATCAAAAATGCGGTAAAAAGCTGTGTTTTTGCATGGACATGAATGCAAGTTCAAGTGCGTTACTGTGCTTTCTCGCATCTGCCATTAATACAGTGTATTGGCTAGAATTCTGGCCATTAGAATGCATTAACCCAGGAATGTGTATTAATGTGCCTAGGGTTAACCAGCATTAATGTGTGTTGATGTGCATTAATGTGCTTTTGAGTGTTTTTTATGCATAAAAGCTTATCTCCAGAATGCACAAGTGATGTTTTTTTTCTGCCCGTAAACTCCCCTTCCACCATACTCTAGAAAACGCCTATAGTATTCATGGACACATAGGTTAACACAGAGGGGAGTTCACATGCAGCGATAAAAAAAAAAAAAAAAAAAGCTCAAACACTCAAAGAATCAACTTTTTTGAGCTGCAGTGTGCATGAGGTCTTACATAGCCACTTATTCGATTATTATATTTATTTCTGACAAGGGTGCTTTACAACATCCCCAGATAAGACTTTTTTAAACTTTTTTCTGACCTCTGGAACGGATTTATTGGTTTTCAATGCATTCCTATGGTAAAGCGCGTTTCGGTTTACAAATTTTTCGCAATACGAAACTTCCCGGAGAAAGCTTTAAATTCGTAAACCGAGGTACACCTGTTTATGCCATTATGTTGTCACTATGATGGGGTCTGATGCCAGTGACACAGCACAATCTAGCCCCTCATATCCACATTGTGTATACTACTTATACATTAATGCCATTATGTCATAAATTGAGTATAAATCAAAGGCTTACTGGATAAGTATGATAACTGGGCAGCACATGTTCTCCCTGTGCCTGTGTGGGTTTCCTCCAGGTACTCTGGTTTCCTCCCACACTCCAAAGACATGCTGGTAGGTTAATTGGATCCTGTCTAAATTGGCCATAGTATGTGTATGTATGAATGTGAGTTAGGGACCTTAGATTGGTACACCCCTTGAGGGTTAGGGACTGATGAATGTACAATATATATGTAAAAGCGCTGTGTAAATTGATGGCACTATATAAGTACCTGAAATAAATAACTAAAGCATTGTTTTACTTGTCTTGAACAGACTTGGGAATTCCATGAGAGCTGGCTGTATTGTACAGATTTTCTGAAAGAAGAGGAGATGGAGTTTTGTAAGCTCTTCCACTACAGAATGAGATGGAGCATCCCAACCTGCAGGAAACCAATTCCTAGAGCAACCGCCTGTGTCTATTTCACAATAAAGATCTCCAAAATTAAACCACCAGTGAGTACAGTATACCTCCCTATTATGTCCATATTCTGTAACTTATATAAATATTTATTGCATAAGAAAGATTCTTCAACTAAGCTTTTGCTCAGTAAGTATGGCAATTGTTGGGATGTAATGGGTTGTAAACTAAAACCCCTAGAGCAGGTGGATCAAATGTATGAGGAATGTCCCCCATGGGGTCATGCGGAGATCAGTGACCTGTGTCATGTCTCCTATATACCTTGGAATATGATTGCAGTACACAAATGCAAGGACCATGTGCACTGTAATGTTGAGACAGTCACCCGAGTTCTCTGAGTGATTACATTGAGGGAAGGAGGGGCTGGGAGCGCCGGCAGGAGCCCCAAGCAGTGCCGGATTGGGGCAATACCATTGCACAGAGCATGTAAGCATTTTAATCTGAACCTTTACAAATGCATTAATAAATAACTTTTTGTGTGAATAAGGCCTTAGAGCTTATTGACATGAGCACTGTGGCCTGTACAGTGTAAATCTGACATATGACATATTTACCGGTCCCTTCCATGCTCTTCTTCCTGAAAACAGCAGGAGATGAAAGAAGCCAGCAGTGTTCCAGCGTGGGGGCACGGGCAGCCAGGGGTCAGAGAATGTGCACAGAGGGTGACCAGTGCAGCAGGGAGGGGGAATTATTTATTTCAGGTACTTATATAGCACCATCAATTTACACAGCAGTTTACATACATATATTGTACATTCATATCAATCCCTAACCCTCAAGGGGCGTACAATCTAAGGTCCATAACTTACATACACTTACCAGGGCCAATCCATGTCTTTGGAGTGTGGGAGGAAACCAGAGTACCCAGAGGAAACCCACACAAGCACAGGGAGAACATGCAAACTCCAGGCAGGTGGTGCTGTGGTTGGGATTTGAACCAACAACCCCAATGTTGCTTGGCGGAAGTGCTAACCATTTAGCCACTGTAGTGCCCGGTGCAGTGGGAGGGCAATTACAGGAACCGATCCCATGTGTGTCTCTCACTATAGCAGCTGAAAGCCAGAGGGAAGGAAAGGAGGAAAAAACGGCTTTCAGCTGTTGCAGGGAGAGGCACACAGGGGACTGGTTCCTGTTCTGTTCCTGCTCTGCCACAATTACAGGAACCGATCTCTTGTGTGTCTCTCCCTACAGCAGCTGAAAGCCGGCGGAAAGAAAAGAAGGAAAAAAACGGCTTTCAACTGTTGCAGGGAGAGGCACACAGGGGACTGGTTCCTGTATTTGCCCTCCCGGTGCATTGATCACTTTCTCCTGCTCACATCTGATTCTTCTGCTGCCTGGGCCCCCCTGCTGGACCAGGCCCAGTAGAGGACTGGTACTACCCCCTTATCAGTGACCCTGCATGCAAATACAAAGTCTAATAAAAATCAGTGAGTAGTCCCACTTTAAAATACAGCGGTATGTTAAGAGAGTAATAAAGAGGAAAGAGAAATACCTCAATATTTCCAAGTATAGGGAGCATACAAATCTCTCTTTCTCGTTTTCTTGTTAGTATATTTTATACTGTGGAATTTTCTAAGAGCTAATTTACTATTGCTATATGTAAGAACAAATATTTCACATTTCTATATCTAAAATGGTCAATTTTCATGTACCTTTCCAGGGATGTTAAAATAGTATATGCTCTGCCACAAATACAAAATCTGTAGGGGAGCAGTTTATGAAACATATAAAAGCTATTTAAACAATATGTTTTTCAATTGATTGGCCTAACCATGATATATATATTTTTTTCAGACTTTGCCAGTGGAAGTATTCTTTGTATTTGAATCAAACAGGCTTGTACACAGGTATGAAATCCCTTGGTATAAATGGAGTATCTAGTCAATTTACCAGCTGGATGATTGTGCTGGAAGCAGTAAGAGATTAGGACAGTGATATAGCCCAGTGGGCGAGAACTTGAGTCATTGAATTGTCAGTTGAACTTTCAGTGTTGGGTGCATGCCAGAGACTTTAATTATTAATGCGATTCTTGTATCCATTTGGGATGTTAAATTCAGAGGTATATTTAATGAGTATCCCAGGATGAGCGAGTGAGAAATGATGAACAAGGGCTCTCTGTTTGCTGTTGCCTAAGAATGGTCATTTTGGATGTGAAGTCCACGGGCTTTGGGCAAAATGCAGCTTGTTTTTAACAAAAGATGTTTTGAAGGTCATTCATAATTCATTGTAGGTAAATTTGACCTTCTTCTAGCTGCTTTTGCATTGCCATGGACTCGTATAGTGGGGGAAGCAGTCTTGACACCAAAAAAATCCTCAATTAAAAAAGACAGCACACCATTGTGCAATTGGATGGTGTTTACTGTAATCCAATAAAAAAAACCCTTCTGGGACATGTAGGTCTTCTTTACCAAGGTGACAAGATATAGTACGTCCTCAGAACATCGTTTTTATTGGATTATAGTAACCACGCTACCGGGGCGGACTGACCATTTGGAAACTCGGGCACTGCCCGAGGGCCCGAGGTCAGTAGGGAGCCCCATGAGTTGCCCCTGGTACCTTTTTCATAGGCTTTTTAGAGTTTGGGCAAGGACACAGGGGCCCCATGATCCCCTATTGCCCGGGGGCCCCATGAGTTGTCAGTCCGCCCCTGCACCATAGTATACATCCCCATACACTAATTCATCCACTTTCCCACTCTCCACTGCAAGAAACCTCCCTGCAATAGTGTGTTGTTTTTAATTAGTATTATAGTTTCATAAATGGGGCCATCATAGGCCACACACCACTTTGGCGGTTGCACATAGTGTGGCAAAGGTCAATCATGAACCAACAGGCCATAGATATATTTTCCCACCATTTTGTACATACTTCAGAATGTCCCATTTTGTAAACTGTGCAGTACATTATTATTATACAGGATTTATATAGCACCAACAGTTTGCTCAGCGCTTTACAATATAACGGGAGACAATACAGCAACAATACAGTTCAATACAAGAGGGTTAGGAGGGCCCTGCCCCTCGGAGCTTACAATCTACATTGCACACACAACCTTGGCTCCCCTTTGAATTCTGTGTTGTACCTTGGATACTCCTCACTACATCTAGCTATTAATAGACAGAACCTATTTGTGCCACTAGAACTTCCTAAAAGCACTCTGTTGGACAGATGAGGTCATTTTTGATACTTTCATATATTCTTTCCACTTGTATGTGCTCTTCCTATAGCTAGAATTAACACACTCTGTTACGAGGGTTTAATGTACCTTTAGGTCAGGGGTTCTCAATCCGTGGCCCTCAGAACCCTCTGATGTGGCCCTCGACCTCATACTGAATGCAGGAGTTTTGGTGCGCTTTCAGAAAGTGCACCACACCCGCAAGATATAATAGAACTCTATGCCAAAGTGCAGCTAACCCGCCGTAAAGCCGCAGAGGCACCAAGCTGCCTGCAGTGCGAGTAAACTGCAGCGCATCAGTGAGAAAGAAGCTTTAAAGGGGGCTCAGTGCAGTAAGGACTTGTTTACGTTTGCAGTTTGGGGGGCACTAAAACCCCATAGCTGAGATGTATTTTAACCCTTTTGCTGCCAGGGCCGTTTTTGCATTTTTATAGCACGTGTTTAAAAAAAATCATTTTAGGCCTGAAGATTACACAAAACCCCCAAAATATTACATATTTTCTGAAAGCAGATGCCCTAGAATAAAGCAGTGGTAGTTCCAATTTTTTATGTCACACAATATTATTGAAAAGGTCTAGGAAATGAAAATTTTAGGAAAAAACACACACTAAAGTAAATTTTAGGGCAAACAAATGCAATAAATGACCCACATTTTTGGTAAAATATAAAATAGAAGGTTGCTCTGAGTAAATAGGTACCCAACATGCCAAACCTTGTGCCATACCCTATATTTTCTATAGGCGATGCTTTAAAAGCCCCTATAGGTCATCAGTTTAGCGTTACGGAGGAGGTCTTGTGCTAGAATTATTGCTCTCACTCCCACGTGCATGGCGATATTTAATATGTGTATCGCAATCAACATTTCCATGTGTAGGCGCTCTGATGTATGTGTTTACATTTGTACATGCGTATATGGGGGGGGTGGGGGCAAAATTTTCTTTGGGGGGGGGGTGTTATGTGCTTGGGTATAACTTTATTGTTATGCAAATCAGAATTTTTTTTAGGTGAGATATATATCAAGACATATTGAGACATGCAGGGTCTAAAAGACCCTGAATGTTTCCTCTGACCTCTACTCAACGTATTGCAATGCAGACTACATTGCTTCTGGGCTGTGCTAGCCAAGAGAGTGACAGCAGCGACCTGGAAGTGAAGTCACACACGTCGCCTCCGGGTCACAGAAAAAGGGAGAGGAGAGCGGACATTCCTCCGCTCTCCTTTCTCCCCTATATCTACTGAGACCTGGCATGGCACTCCCTAGGCCTGCAGATGGGCCCCATCATTGGTATCAAGTGGGGCCTGGATACATGCGGGAGCGCGTGCGCAGGAGGAGACCAGTAACAGGGGCTGTGGAAGCGATTGGGTGGCAACGCAGCCGTCTGACTTCATCCATCTGACAGGCAGCATCTGTATGTATGGGTCTGGTGGCGAAAGGGTTATTCACACACACCCCAAACCTCTGATGTAGCAATCAGTGACCCCACCCCTTGCTCCAAGGGGTCCATGCGGCCTACCCAGGGGCGGACTGACCATTTGGAAACTCGGGCACTGCCCGAGGGCCCGGGGTTAGTAGGGGGCCCCATGAGATGCCCCTGGTACCTTTTTCATAGGCTTTTTTGAGTTTGGGCAAGGACACAGGGGCCCCATGATCCCCTATTGCCCGGGGGCCCCATGAGTTGTCAGTCCGCCCCTGGGCCTACCTGTCACATTCTGTTTTACACTTGGACAGGAGGGGTAAAATATACAGGAACCGATCCTCTCCATTTTCCTCCTGCAACTGCTGAAAGCAAAATTCTCCTTCTCTATTTCCAACAGCATTCAGTGGCTGCAGGAGGAAAGTTCATTATGCTATTCAAAATAAAACACTCAAAATGCTGAACCATTTCATTTTATTGTGGCCCGCGACCAGTTACCAAATCACTTAGGTGGCCCTCGCTCTTTACAAGGTTGAGCAACTCCGCTTTAGGTGAAGCTGTCAGCTATGTTATTGTGGTTGTAAAGGGTGAGGGTTTTTTTTTTCTTCAATCAACTTTGGGTGCAGGAGCCAACATCTTCAGTAAGAGACCTGGAAATTAAGCCTTGTGGCTTCACAGCCGATTGCCTACTGCGCATGCGCGATGCGTGCTGCATCTTGTGAATGGTCCCGCACTCTTCTTAGACCTATGATGTGTCCAAGAAGGCTGTGGGGAAAGGAAGGAAGGGGGGGGGGATTCTTGCACAGATCACTGTGAAGTTCTGCTTTAACACACTGCATACAAAACAGTATTTATTATGGATTTACATTTTTGAGTTTGTATTGGTGTTTATTTAGAAACTCACAGCTGCTCCTCCTTGTTTTTGTATCTAGGGCTGGTTCACACTAGAAAGCATGTATTCCAGTTTTGACAGCCCATTCATTTCAGCGGTCTGCCAAACATACTGAAATGTGGAAAAAGTAATGCAAGCGCTTTACCAAACCACATGATACTGCGCAGGGGCGGACTGACAACTCATGGGGCCCCCGGGCAATAGGGGATCATGGGGCCCCTGTGCCCTTGCCCAAACTCAAAAAAAGTCTATGAAAAAGGTACCAGGGGCATCTCATGGGGCCCCCTACTAACCTCGGCCCTCAGGCAGTGCCCGAGTTTCCAAATGGTCAGTCCGCCCCTTATACTGCGGTACCATGTGGTTTGGTGGCCACAAATGCGCTGTGCTTGGGTTGCCATTAATATTTAATGGCACTGCGTGCATCTTGCAAGGGCAGCGTGTTCACATGCACTGCGGGAAAGCACTTTTCGAGCACCACGTTCTAGTGTGAATTTACTTATAACCTAGGAAAAACAAACACAGGTCACACATGGCTTTATGAAAAGATTCACTTGTCTTTCTTCCACAGGCCAGGACAGACAAGATTCAGAGAAAAATGGCTGAAAGACATCATTGAGAGCAAAATTATAATGATGGACAGTATTACATTTTAACTAGTTTTATACTGCTCTCTATAGAGAGAATGCTTTCATGTCAATGCTGCAAAAAATAAATAAAACTTGTTATAAAGAAATAAGAAAATAAAAGACATATTTCCCCATGGAAAGAGTGTTATTTGCAATGATTATTTACTACAACACTGTAGACCAGGGCTCAAAACTTTTCAAAGGGTTAGTTTACTGTCCTTCAGGGTTTAGGGGGCTGAACTGTGGCTAGTGGGGGGTAGAAAATGTTCCAGGGCTCGCATCAGTGAGAATAAACATTGTTTCAGGGTTGGTGATCAGGAGGAGGAAGAATAGTGCCCAATTATTGACATTAGTGGGAAAAATAGTACCCCATCATTGGTATCAGTGGGAGGTATAGTACCCCATCATTAGTGTCAATTGGAGGAATAGTGCCCCATCATTGGTGTCAATGGGAGGAATAATGCCCCATCAGTGGTGTCAATTGAAGGAATAGTGCCCCATCATTGGTATCAATTGGAGGAATAATGCCCCATCATTGGTATCAGTGGAAGGTATGGTGCCCCATGGTTGGTGTCAGTGGGAGAAATAATGCCCCATCATTGATACTACTGTGAGGAATAGTGACCCAACATTGATACTACTGTAATATTGCCCAACCATTGATACTAGTGTGAGAGAATAGTACCCCATCATTGGTATCAGTGGGAGGTATAACACCCCATCATTGGTGTCAGTGGGAATTATAGTACCCCATCATTGGTATCAGTGGGAGGAATAGTACCCCATCATTGGTATCAGCGGGAGGAATAGTACCCCATCATTGGTATCAATGGAAGTTATACTACCCCATTGTTGGTGTCAGTGGGAGCAATAGTGCCCCAGCATTAGTGTCACTGGCAGGAATTAATGCCCTACTGTTGGCGTCAGTGGAAGGAATAGTGCCTCATATCATTGAGAGAAATAGTGCCCCAAGGGCCGGTTAAAGGCTAGAAAAGGGCCACAGTTTGGAGACCACTGCTGTAGACAGTCAGTATTTGTAGATATTCAGTTACAAAAGAAATGACTTCACAATGCTTATTGAACCCTTTGTTCACCTGAAAAGAACTGGTTGTATTGCTGAAATTATCTAAAATCTCTGTTCCATCTTTATTCTACACTGGAAAAATGGCAAGACTGGATTTCTATGTATGTTCTTACTTTAAACACAAACAAGAGCAATTATTGAATGGATTTATCAGTTCCTCCATTGTATAGAATAATAATATATTGGATGTTAGCGCTGAACTCCAGGAAAATCAAATATTGTCTAAATACAAGAGCCTTTTTTTTCTTGAATCTTAGTAAGATTTGTGTATTTCTTCCAGATATCTGCAGTAATCCAGTGTAAAACTTTGCCTCTGTGCAGGAGCTTCCTGTAATAAAGATTGGACACTGCTGCTCACTATACTTGTGCAGGCTGACTTTTTTGTCTCCATCCCCTCCTGTAGTTTAAAGCAGAACTCCAGGCAAAAACGTCTTACATGTCCTTGCTTCTGATTTCCTACCTTCACTGAATGTGTCATCCATCTTCTGGTTCACTCAGTCTTCACATTTTGAAGGTTCCGTGGGTCTGTTTTATGAACTCTGATCTTAGTTCTTTCCATAGATTTTCTGTTGGATTCAAGTCAGCTGATTGGCTGGGCCATTCTAGCGGCTTTATTTTCTTTCTTTCAAACCAATTGAGTTTCTTTGGCTTTGTGTTTGGGATCATTGTCTTGCTGAAATGTCCACCCTTGTTTCATCTTCATCATCCTGGTAGATGGCAGCAGATTTTTATCAAGAATGTCTTGGAATATTCCTCCATTCATCCTTCCTTAAATGATATGAAGTTTGCCAGTACCGTATGCTGAAAAACAGTCCCACACCATGATGTTCCCACCTACAAACTTCACTGCTGTCTGACCAGACTATATTCTCCCAGTATTTCACAGGCTTGTCTAAATGTTGTGCAGAAAACTTTAAACAAGCTTCAATATGCTTTTTCTTCAGCAGTGGAGTCTTGTGTGGTGAGTGTGAAGGCCATGGCAGTTGAGTGCATTACTTATTGTTTTCTTTAAAACAATTTTTATAGGCCAGTAGTTGAGACCGAACCAGGTGATATTAATTTGCACTGATGAGGGGCAGGATTGCTTTCTAATTACTGATAGATTTCAGCTGGTATTGTGGCTTTCCATGCCTTTTGCCATGTGTTAAATACTTTTTACCTGTCATTCCATTTTACTACAGATAACTTAATTTCTGAACTTATTTGTTTTGGTTTCTTTGTATGTATGGGTTTGGCAGTTGCCAGGAGACTGGTACTTGCCTGACTGCATTGTGCCAAGTGTAAAGTTTGGTGAAGGGGGGATAATAGTATGGAGTTGTTCTTTCAGGGGTTGGGCTTGGCCCCTTAGTTCCAGTGAGGGAAACTCTTAAGGTATCAGCATACCAAGATATTTTGAACAATTTCATGCTCCCAACTTTGTGGGAACAGTTTGAGGATGGCCCCTTCCTGTTCCAACATGACTGTGTGCCAGTGCACAAATCAAGGTCCATAAAAACATGGATGAGCGAGTTTGGGGTGGAGGAACTTGATTGGCTTGCACAGAGTCCTGAGTTCAAACTGATAGAGGTGAATTAGAGCAGAGACTGTGAGCCAGGCCTTCTCGTCCAACATGAGTGCCAGACCTCACAAATGCGCTGCTGGAAGAATAGTCAAACATTCCCATAGACACACTCCTAAACCTTGTGGACAGCCTTCCTAGAAGAGTTGAAGTTGATATAGCTGCAAAGGGCGGGCAAACTCAATATTGAAACCTATAGACTAAGACGCCTTTATAGTTCTTGTGATTGTAAAGGCAAGCATCCCAATACTTTTGGCAATATAGTGTATGTATATCACACTAAGAACAGAGGCAGATTGACAATACACACACAGCAGTGAGATAAGTATTGGTCTTTGCATGGAACAGCATATTCTAACCACACATAACCAAGAAGCATAAACTAAGGTCTGCGTCTATTTATGGCCTGTCAGAAAAATAAAGATACCATCTCAGTACCAAATGTCTTTTGTGTTCCATTTAGTTCAAATCTAGGTACCGTGTAGAGTGTCACATTATAAACACTGAAAAAGAGTGTGCATATTAAGGGATGCTGGAGCTAGATCAGGGATGGCCAACCACAGATGCCACAAGTTATGAAATTTATGGAGGGGGTGCCTCTATGCCAGTGCTTCTCAAATAGTGAGGCTCCGTCAAGGGGGGCGCGTTTGACCTCGGGGAACATACCGTATTTTCTGGCGTATAAGACGACTTTTTGACCCTTGAAAATCTCAAAAGTCGGGGGTCGTCTTATACGCTGGTATGTTAGGGTGGAACTTTTTAGGGGGGGGCGCGGCGCAGTGCCGCCGCCGCTCCCCCCCCCTTCCGACAGAAGGGACACTAAGTACAGGGGTGGGCAGAGGGCTGCTGTTTCTTACCTGGCTCCCACGATGATCCATCCAGGAAGCGCTGCTCCTTCCGTCACTCCGGCCACTCCCTCACTCCTGCCGCTCGGCTCCGCCTCCTCACCAGTGATTGGCCGCCAGAACTGTAGCTCAGGAAAGGTACACAGGCGGCCAATCACGGGTGAGGAGGCGGAGCGGACCCACGAAAATCGAGTGAGGGAAAAGCCGGTAAGTATGCAGTGCAGAGGTGCTGCTGCAAAAATACTATTTACAGTCGCGCGGGGGGCGCAAAATGTTTTCTTCTTCCTAGGGGGGGCATGACAGAAAATAATTGAGAAGCACTGCTCTATGCTAATAGATATATCACTCCCTCAATAAAATTGTGTTAACTTGGGTTCGCCATTCCTCAAGGGTGGGAAGGTGTGGGGATAAACAATTCAGCGCTATAAGGTTTTTGGCAAAAAAAGAAGTCAGTGAGGCTCTAATTACCAAAGATATCAAGAACACACACTTTGGGGTCTATAGCAATCTGTATCTGAAAAACTCTGTTAACAGTATCTATGATCGTTCTCCAATACCAAACCAATTTAGGGCAATTCCAAAGCATATAGATTTAGTCTGCAGATTTCCTGACACCGAAGACCATCAGGGCTATGTCTCCTACACCACTGGAAAAGTTTAGTTGGTGTTCAGTAAGTTCCGTGCTATATAAAAAAGTTGAGATAATCTCTGGATGGGCGACAGAGACACCAGTAAAATGTGTTCCAAGATATTTATCCACACATTGTCTGTCAAGGCACCTTTGTATGTCTGTCTTCCAACCTGCTCTGCCTAGAATAAGAAGGTCTGCTTGTTACGCAGACAGGAGTGAGAAATACATTCTAAAGATGAGACCCTTTTTTTTTTGTCACGTCAACTATAAGATCAGTAAGTAAGGTCACTTTGGCTTGGGTTGTTAGTGTGTGCTGTTGTAAGTTTTGAAAGTAACTATAATTTGAGATCGGGTATTCTGCTGGTATATTCTGGAATGATCTGGAGATGTCTTAGGAATTAGTTGGTGGACGTACTGCATTCCTGCCTGGAACCAGGAGTCAAATCCCTCCAATTTAGTCAACTCTTCCAAGTGGGAGTTATCACATAATGGGGAAAACAAAAACTGTCTGCCTCCAATTATGCAGCTAGGGAATATTTATCCACCCTAGCCAGTAGTACAGATTTTATGGAATCTTTCCAATTAATTGTTCCTCAGCCAGCAAAATGCTGAAATTGAACAGCCAGAAAGTATAGTTTAGCATTAGCCAAGCCAGGC